GTGAGGGCGCAGGTGGTGGGCGCCACCCGCACGGCCTCGGAGCTGCGCGGTGGGAGCGGGGACGGGGACCCGCCTGGGCCAGCCCCGGGCACCACCAGAGCAAGGACATGGCCTGGGCCCGCCGGCAGCGGGGTCGCCTGTAGCGCCCCGGCGGGAAAAGGGGGCCGGTGAAACCGGGGCGGGAGCGAGGTGGGAGGTGGCAGCGCTGGGTGCGTGAGTGAGGCGGCACCGGGGAAGGCCAGCGGGAGCCCGGGCCCCCCGCGCCGGCCCGCCGCTGCCCGGGGCGCTGACGGGAGTGCTTTCCTCTCAGCAGCGCTTTCCTCTCCCTCAAGGGTTCTCTTGGTGAGACAGCGGCGACGGAGAAGTCCCAGAAGGGACAAAGCGCTGTCCACTGCATAAATGTTTATCAGTGAGAAATCAGTGAGAAATGTTTCTACCCAGGCTTTCCACAGAGCTTAGCATGAGCTACAGGTTTTCTGAGTACAAGTGTGATTTGTAAAAGTGTTGGCAATACATAAAGTTTATCACATTTATCTTATTGACAAAAGTACTGTGTGTTCAAGCTAACATCTCACCAAATAAAGTGCTCTTCTGAGATGGCACAAACTTAGGAAGTGTGATGGCCAGGCTGGCCACAGCAGTCTTACTTGGTCTGTAGTGTTCATGAATGCTGCACAGGAAATCCCGCGTTACAGGTTTTATTAAGCACTACAAGTGATACAGGAAAAGGAACAATATACAGTGGTATAATATATGTATATAAATCTTTTTAGGACTACTCATGAGATACAGATCGAAAGCCTTTCATGAGTATAAAGCTAACCACAGAGCTTTCTAAAACAGCTTCTCTTACAGACACGAGAGTAGAGGTGGATCTCCATTCAGTAGACAGTAGTGTCAACCCTCTATGAAATCCACTGTGAAAACTAGTTAGTAGAGGCTACTTTTCCCAAAACTTTGGTACTAGCAGCAAGAACACATCTCTGGAAAAGTAGAACGGTATGTTCAGTATCAAAGATCTTGTACATCGTGACAGATGGTATCACCTTGGCTCTAAAATTTCAAGCATCAGTGAGAGCAAGGGATAGAGAGAAAAGGAAAAAAAAGAAATCTCGTTTTCAAGCCAGATTGATGGTGACCATGTAGAGGAAATAGTACCGTAGGGATAAAACAACTAAACTGACACGTTTTATTTGTCAGATTCCTAAACCTGTCAACTCTAACAGAGCTACATTTATTACACAAGAATACTGTAATAAAGACAAAAATGAGATCTACAGTTGTTTATAAGCCATAAGCACCTATAAATTATAAGTACCTAAATCCACCACCAAAATGTAATGTTAGAAGAACTGGTGTTAGATAGCAGGTAGCAGGCTAATTTACACAAAAGTGAAAACAAAAGGTGCAAGGTTCTCTTGAGACAACATGGTCAGGGCAAGTGAGACTGCAGTGGAAGAGAGCGGTGAGTCCTCAGAAACGATGTGAGTTTAAATGCAGAATGAACAGTGTGACTCTCAGTGGGTAAGGTAGATAGTACTTGAAAGGAGAGCTCTTGCACACTAGGCCAAAGAAATATTGGAAGAAGGAGAAGCAAGCAGGCAAACCACTGTTAGGAGAAATAACTGAATACATGCAGAATACCTAGTGAATTAAATACTGCTGTAATGAGAAGGTATCGAGTCAGTGTTCAAATGATGAAAACCCTGTCTGGAAATTTCGAAAAAGGAAGTCAGCAAACTCAAAGCAGACATGGCAAAGTGCTAACAAGGGAGATGCAACAGAAAGAGCATTTTATAAAAAGTCCTCTTCAAGCCCAGTCTTATCCCAGTACCACCTATTTTGCTGACCTCGAGTAGCTGGCTGCTAAGTAGTATGGCCCAACTGGATGGTAGTTGTGCGCGTTACAGTTAAGAAACAGCAAGTAATGCGCATTATGAGATTGTCACATGAAAGCATGTATGCCTTTTTGTGAGTTTCTAGGACAGATACATGACTTCAGAGTAGCACTGAGCTGGAACAAAGGGAAGATCAGCCACTGATGTTCTCTCTCCTGCTCGTCACTACCATAATTGATGGCATCCATCCAAAGAAAGTCTATGAAACCTTGCTGCAGAGAGCTACAAACTCGGAGAGACGGTCTTGTGTGGCAAAACAGCTGCCCAGGCAGGCCTAACATCACTGGTGTCAAAATGAGTACCTGCAGCTGCGTGTAGAGGTACTTTGCAAAAAAACCCCACCAGTGCATGAACAACAGAGAGGTCAACTATAATACTAGAAAGCAATTGAAAGCTGCAACAAATTAAAGTTTGGCTTTTTTTCACAGAAATTGATATTTAATAATTTTAGCTTTGATTTTGTTTTGGTTCTCTGTGGTAAACCAAGGATAACAGTATTTTCTCTTTTTACAGATGAGCAATATTTTTGTGGGAAACACTACAGTTGTGTGAATTTAGTATAAAGTGCAAAGTTTCACAGGACACTGTAAAAGAAAAAATAGGGCTTATGGAAAAGGTTGAAAAGAGCATGGAATATATCCATCCTGAATGAAGCAGAAGTCTATGGAAAACAGCATATATGTTCTTGTACTTAAAATTACTATCCGAGTCATTTGCTTAAAAGAACCACATTAAAATTGAGCACATAGCCCTAATTTTTATTTCCTAATTTCTGAGTCCTTGACTTTGCAACTTCAGTGGTCTTGTTACATGTGATGTTGGTTTCTTTGGATGTGATGAGAATATAGTTAGGGCTGCTGTAATTATGTTTCAGTAACTGTAGCTGTGTGTCTGCCTCAAACTACCACTCACACCCTGTGGTCTTACTTTACCGGAGTCCCTAAGTATGCAGTTGTGTTCCTTCTTGGTCCTTGTCTAGAAACTAAACATCTGGGTTATGTTACAGTGCCAGCTTTTCCTCGTGTGGCTTTTGAGAATTTTATGAGCTGAGATTTGATGATGCTTGTATAAAACCTATTCCTTTGGTGGTATTGAGGGTGTTATCCTGGGGGTATTTTATCTTCTTTTGAATTAGGTAAGTATTCTATTGACCTAACTTGTGATTACGACAAAATATAAAACATGAGATCAATTTGATATATCAATTGAAATAAGACTTTGTAGTCCTTATATTATTGCATTGGCTGCTGAACACCTAAACTATAGGAAGCTTATTCAGAAAATGATAGGTTTTACATGGCCATGACGAAATAGCAAGCAGAGCAGTTTAAGTCTTCCACTCACGTGTTATGTTTTCAAACTGTGTCAACGGGTTAGATCAAAATGGATTTTAATTTGAAAATAAAAGATTCTCTGCTAATACAATGCAAATGTACCCAATTTCAGTTTCTTCTTGTCAGAAGCCGTTTGAATAATTAAATAATGAGGTAGGTAGTGGGCATAGGAACAAATTTCTGCAAAGGCGAACAGTTTATGACTGGCTTGGATTTTCCATTTAAGGCAATGTGTCCCTGCAGTATTTTATAGTCTCTCAATCTTGCTTATATTATTTATATTATTAATGTAAAAAAAATCAATGATGTAGGAATGTTATTGGAATATTATTTTATTATTAGGAGTGTGGTTATTTTTTTCTTTTCTTTTTATTACAGATGGGAAACTGGGGCACAAAAAGAGACTAAGAATTTGGCAGGTGAACGGAGTGCTGTACAGTACATGTAGGGTATGATCTTGCGGCATGGACTGGCTGCCCTTAGGCTATTTATTCGTTAGTCAGTGCACGGTAGCTTGCTCAGTCTCTTCTTCATACTGTGGAATATGGATATACTGAGCATACCCATATGAGTCAATATTATTTATAGATTAGTTCTGATTAGAAAGACATTATACTATCTAAATAATAGAAAGCAAGACAGTAGTGTTTCAGGAACTGTACACTCATTTGTGCATTCAGAGTAGTCCTCCTTTGCTCAGATGTACACACAGACACTGGTCAAGCACAGTTTGCAGAAGATACTACTAAGTCTGGTCTTGAAACTACACCAAATATTTTCATGGTTTTTTTTAAAAGTTTATTAGGTCTTTACCATAGACAAGTGTCACATCTTTTTTTAATGACTTTAGCTAAAATGGTGGGTATGATAACTTTTTAAGAAATAATGATGCGAGATGTTTTTTGTTCATTATTTCAAACACTGAGTGAAGACTTTCTCTTTTCTAGGCTGAAATCTTGTACCCTTTTTTATGTTGATCTGTAATTTCATATATAGTCCCCTTGAAATAATTGGATTGCTGATTAAATAAAATGTGGCCTGAATAGGGATAATATGACATAGTGCCAACATAAAGCTGTGCAGTATGACATATGTAAACGGTTAAGACATATTTTAGTTATCAGGAAATTATTCATGTTTGTACATCAGATGTATATTTTAATATAAACAGGTTCAAAGAGGAAAACAACAGCAGTATGGAACAGTGTTTATAGACCATCCACAAACAGAAGGAAAGAGAAGACCTGCTGTTTAAAAAAAAACAACAAAAAAAGAAAGAAAAAAAAGTGCTGCATATACAGATCCTCAATCAGCGTGAATGGCAGTAACAAAGGATTCGTTTGAACGGATTAAGTGGCTTATCACAGCTGCCTGGTGAGTTTTACAGATCACTACATTTTTTAACTAGAGTCACTGAGATATATTCTTAGCTATCGATTTAACAGTAATAAGAAATCACCAGTTAAATCATTTGTAGCCTGTCATAAATTAGATAAGCCTATATGATAATTTATCGTATTGGATTTTGATTGCTTGTCTGTAAGTTTATACCATTGAAATGCCTGTCATAAATTAGATAAGCCTATATGATAGTTTATCGTATTGGATTTTGATTCAGGTACTACACTATTTAAATAGTAGGAAATAGGAACTATAATTCTGAGTCTGTTTTAAGAAGAAAGATATTCCTACATTCTAGTGATGAACATATTTGGACATTAAAAAGTAATGACTAACTCAAAGCTGAATGCCTGTCCCAGAATAATTTTGCAGATGAGTGAGAATTATTAAAAGGCACGAAGAAAACTTTTAGAGACTATGATGGAAATACCTGCTAACAGCTGTGGCAGGAGTTCTTTTTGGAGGAAAATGATCCTTAGGAGAAGATTAGGATCATTGTGGCCTGGAATTTTCAGAGTGGTGTGTGGGATCAGTGATTCCATCTGTATAATATTTTCTAGGAAAAGTCAATCCAATTTTCCTTCTTTATAAAACTTCATGCACCAGGCTCTTTAGGAATGTGAAGTTAGGCTTTTCTAGCTGGGAACCTGGCCCAACAAATGTACCTTGCTTGAACCTGACACCTAGGCAGTCTTCTGTTGTGCTAATATGCCCAAAGTTTCTCCAGTGTCTTTTTCATCTGCATTTGGTTTGTGCAAACCTTGTTATTCAGGTGTTCCCCAACGTAGCAGCTTTCCAACCCAACCATCTCTCCAAGGTAGCTCTTCCTGCCTTTTTTCCATGTTATTTGTGAATGACTTCCTCTAACAGTCTCATGCTGATTTGAGTACACAGGCAATGTCTGTCTGGCGTCAGGAGGCAGGGATTTTGAAATGAGAGAACAATCTGGCAAACACACACCCGCTGTATATGACTGGAAAAAAGGGAGACTGTAGCGCTGTGCATCAAGAATAGCATCATCAGATTTCCATTTCAGTTGTGCAAGGGCTTCATGAGAACTTGGCATTTTGTTAAATGAAAAATAACTCACACCTGGCGAACACTGACATGGGAAAAAAAAAGTTTAGAGAGACTGTCTGCAAATTCAGAAGGTTAGAAGCAAAAATGGCCTTAAATTAGTAAGAACCACAGAACAAACCAGTGCTATTGTCTGCTACCTGGCTGAAGTGTTCCTGTGAAGTTAAATCCTTTCTACACAAACTTACTTGATGCATTAAAGGATGAACTACTGGGATGCACGAAACTTCACCACCATTTACTGCTGTAGCTGATCATCTGGCAATCTCACATTGTTTAATCAGTCCTTTGTTTCTCACTCAGCAAGAGACAGTATGAGCTTCTCTCTTCAGTTACCACTAATTATTTTCATAAATACTTTCTTTTGGTAAAACCTGTGTATTTGAAAAAAGGCAGCAGGCAACATAGGTTTAAAAAGTGTGTAGAGCAAATGTACATAAATGGCTAAAATATGTTAAATTTGTCGGTATTGAATTTATCAGTATATATCAGTGCATATACAGGTTATATCATTTACAGTTTGAATCTATGAATAATTAATAACCAGGGAGAATAATCATGTGTTTGTTGGCACAGTTCTCAGTGCTCCAAGCAGTTAACAAAGAATAACAAATTAAAAATAGAGGTCGATCTCGATAGGACTTTATGAAATTTATTAAATGCCTAAATATTTCCAGTGTTGGAGTAATTTTGATACAGGCTTCACTATAGCCTGGAGAATAATACACAGTAGTCTATACATTATGGCTGTACCTAATGTATCATTTCATATAATGAATGAGCACCTTAGTTCTCATTAATAATGATGTTGGTATGAATAATAATTAATGTTTATTTCCTGTATTGCTGCAGAAATTTTGGTCTACCTTTTTATTATTTCATCCTCTTTTTTTTGCATATAGAAAATATAAAAGACATGATTTCAACTTTATAATCAATCACTAGCAATGTTTGGCATAGAGCTGGGCTTCCCCAGAAGCTGCTCTGGAATCATGTGGCTATTTTGAGTGCTGCTTTGCTCCCTGCCTTCTCTCACTCTCTCTCTGTGCAAAAGAAAACAGCACTAGCTAACTCATTTTGGGGCAGACGCCGATCACCTCCATCTCTACACAATCTTCATCCCACAGTGTCTGTGGAGGTACAGAAATCTGTCTGGAATGGTTCTTCTCTGGCCATTCCTAACTGTGGGATTGGAAACAGGTTACAAGGACTTTTACATAGTCTTATGCACACCTGTCTGTACTTGGTCTCACAAATCCAAAAAGACAAATACATATAGCATGTGCTGACCATTTCTTAATGGTGCATACCCCTTATAAAGACACTCTTTTACTATATAATTACCCCAACAGGACTTAATCATGTGTACACACTTCTCACTTTAGAGGCTGTATTTCTGTGATGGTTGGATGTTGGAAGTTTAGCTTAATTTAGCTTTCTCCTTCTTTTACATCAGGTGGCTGCTGATAGTGTTTTCAGCACAGCAAACTGACGGGGTAAGTGACACTGATACGTGCTATAGCCAGGTGATAGATAGGACGGTATAGTTCAAATGAGTAACACTGTATACACCAACATGATCTATAGTTCTGTGGGAAAACTGTGATGTTTCTTTCAGTATTTCTGCAGCTCTAACTTTCCTTTCTGTTCCTGTTGTTCAGCTTAACTATTTTGTAATGTTCTCCTTTGGATTCTTCTAGATTCTAGCTTTGGCATCTTTGGATGCCTTTGGAAAGCTGCACATAAAAAAAAGGTCTCTCATGCACTAAGTCTGCCTCCTTCCTCATGAAGTCCCTTCAATGGCTCTACATTATAGCGTATATCAAACTCTAGTTTTCAAGCCCTTCTCTGTATGTTAGCCTAGATCTTAAACTGGCCTCCCTGAACATGCCCATCTCTCTGAAGCCAAAATTTCACATATAATATAGTCTCAACATCTACTTTATTCTCCTCTCTGTACTGTTCTCCTTATTAACCTTGTTTGCAGTGCCCTCACTGAAACTTCTTTCAAGTCTATCCTCTTTGTTTCTTTCAAATCTTTTAAAGCTCTTTTCTGTTGTTCTCCCCTGCCCCAAGTCACCCCTTTTTAGCTGAACTGTTCAAAATAGAAGTATTTTTTCAAAATAAATGTGCTCAGTTAGAACAAGGGGTAACAGCTTATGTGTTATTAGAAACTTGCATTCCATTGACATTCCAGTAGAGGCAAGTTTTTAATAACTAGGTGAGAGACTAATGTGGAGTAGTTTGTGGGAAATCCAGTGTGTGAAAGAGAAGCAGGCTGTGAGAGACCATCATACCCTCTTGTTCTGAGGTTTGAGAGTACCAGATACTCTAAAAATATTGTAGATAGAAAGAACAGAATTTTCCTCCTTATCTAATATTTGTCAGTGTTTTCTCCTTGAAATACTGAAGTATGAACCTATTGTGTTCTGTTGGTTATTAAAACCAGTAACAAAACAAAGTTGACCTTGATAAAAATGAAATCACACTGAGCAAATATTTTCACGTTATCACAGTTTACTTGTTGCCTAAATTGTTCTTAAATCTTTCAAGTCCTTGTCATCCTTTTTGAAATGACTTTGATCATTTGCACAATTTTGCCAAAAAAATAATGTCACCTAGTGGACATTCCAACCATCTAAGTGAATTTATAAATGCATATGTTGTGTATAATTTGCACACGTTTAATACTACACTTTGGGAAATAGAAAAGATTAATAAAATCATGTTCACTTACCACACAATGAATCTACTGAATTTACATTTTGGTGTGTTTTGATTTCTCCTTGAATATGCTTTTCTTCCTCATTGCAATTTGATGAAACAAAATCGTCACTTCTTTGCTATTAAGAGGACAAGGACAGAAAGTTTTAATACAAAAAAAAAGTAAATTAATGGTAGGCAATGCAAAACTACCCCATGCACATACTTCATTTTTAATTTAATAGACAAGAATTAAATACAAGTTTTTATTGCTGACTGGGCTTGTTGCTCTTCAGCCTGTTTTGCCTTTTATCATTTAATTGTAGTTAAACAATCTCTAACCTAATGTGATGGGTTACAAATTTCACATTATTACAAATTAAATTCTGACTCTTAAATTTTTTTCTAGATGCAGCCTATTTCCTTAGCTGTATTTAGCTGTAAAGTTTAGGATTACTTAACATAACTTGCAGGTAATGTGTTTAATCTTCTACAGCAACAGTAATAAGCTTTTGGTTATTGCTTCTACTTTGCCAGTGTGTTTGTGCTGGTGAGAGGTCCAAGAAGGTTAGGAGGATTTTAAATCAGTAGTACTGATGTGTGCATTCTGGTAAGCAAGCATTGGGAAAGGTTCATATGTGTCAAGCTGAAGATCTATACAATATTTTGATGTTTCCTGCTATGCCAAGTTTCTTCATCAGAAGGAAATTGCCCTGTGGGTATGCAGGGTAGCCAAGTCTTTTGCCCTAAAAATCATCTAATTGGATAATAAGTCCAGTTGACAATATTTGATGAAGTGATTATTGTCTGTTGTGTATTAAAAAATCTGTAAATTTTTCATTTTTAGGGAGGATACGCATATATTGACCCGTGTGGGGGACAGGATTGTTCAGTTTGTCGGTGCTTTCCAGAAAAAGGATCAAGAGTAAGTGATGATTAGAAATAATGATAACTACTGTTGTAAATACTGTTCATTTTGTGCACATAGCTGTTCTTTAAAATCAATATGGTTGACAGAAATCAGTAAATTAATATTCAAACATAAACAAGTCTGAATATAGCAAACTAGCATAATTCTCTCACTGGTATGAAGTACAGCTATCATTGAAGGAAATTAAGATTGCTTGTAAAGAAGTTTGCTTGTAAATTAGGTTTGTAATAATCGTGGTGCCTTTTTTTGTGTTAAGGATTCTTTGAGATCAATCTAGTAGTTTGACAAAGGTCATTCTTATTAAGTTTAGAGATCTATGCTTGTTTTCTACTGAGGTTGGTTAAAAGAGAATGTCTATGCCATTTACTAGGTTAAAGTGAACTTAAGTGTTTCTTATTTGGGTTAGGTGGTTCTGGGAAAGATTGCACACTTTTTTTATTTTACTAGCTTAATGCACTAAGTATAAAAAAATTCTGAATTGTCTTTGCCTTATAAATAATTGTAAAGCATTGAATGAAGCCAAGGCATTTTCATATTATATGCTAAAATTAATAACTGTGCATGTTGCTATTTGTTAATTGAAATATGGTCTAGGGATGACTAATTTGTTATCTTGGCTGTTCTTTCTCAAAATACCTATCTATGTAGTGATAGCGAACAATTTAAACATTATATGAGGCAAAGACTTATTTAGATACATGCCCTGATTACTGAACAATTGAAAATTTGTCAGTTAATGATGGAAATTGTTTTCTTTCAAAGTACTTATGTTAAAGTTTAGGGTTAGAAAGCCTGAACATGGTGAATCAGTTTTTTGAAGAGCTGCATGCATGCCCCATTTGTTTGTGTACAACCTGAGTTGCCACAAAAGCAAGACACACCTTTTCCTTCCTGTGCTTCTGCAGTTAGCTGCATGCTTTGCTGTGTCATGATCACTGCTCTGGTGTCCTTGGATCCTATCCTAATCCTCCAGGATTATGTCTATACGAAAGTCCCCCATACTGTAGGATTTTCATAATAGGGGCCTAGGATGCGTCTATCTCTGTAACACTGTGTTAACAAAAATGCATCCCAGGAAAAGTATTTTGACTAGCAGCATTGCAGTATCTCTCAGTGCTACTGAATAGACTATTTTGGATACCAAAAACCTGATCTGAAGTGCCATTTAAATACAACTGACTTTTTGAAACTAGAGGAAATGTCCCTGATTCTGGTTCTCTCTCAGTAGCCTGGAAGTTCTGAATTATGTGCCCATAACCAGTCAATAATAAGTACTCACTGCAGTTGTTATGGCTCTTTTCTAAGCTGTCCTCCCCACCACAGATAAACTGAACTATGATTCATGCATTTCAGCTTTCTAAATCATTCCAAGGATCTGGACATAAGTGCCAAATAGAAGTGTAATAAACATTTAAAACTAAATTCAATGTCATTATGCAAATGTAAGCCTAAGAACGGTACCATTTTCTGCAACAGGTCTGAAATATTCATGCACACTGATGGATAAAGTCTCTCCAATGTAATACGAATTTATATTTCATGCAATCACTTCTATTAATCAGTTTGCAAGAAGTAGAAGTACTTATCAGACCCTACATGAAATATGGCTTAACTAAACAGCAATAACTGTGTTGCCAATAATTTCTATACTAATGTATGGTGATAAATTACTTTCTATAGGATTATTTAATCTTTTTTTCATCCTACAACCATGTTGATTTCTAAACTTTGCTGTGTTTGGCCTTTACACTGTGACTCTAAATTTGCTTTCCTAGCTTTTATGGAGACTACCTGTTACAAAATAAAAGATTTGTTTATGTTAGCTTCCTAGAACACAAAACATCTGCTTTATCTACTTTTCTGTCTGAATCCTGGTCCCAGGCTGGTTCCTCAGAGCTTTGCATCTTCCTCAGTCCTGTCTTTAAAGTACAAGAAAGAAACGATCATTGAAAGCCTCTGGCATTGTACAGTATGTAAGCCTAAAATTTCAGAAGTATACAGTTTATTAAATATTCTTTCTCTATAAAGAAGTTGAGATAAGGGCAACAGTATAAATTTGGTTGCCTAGCATCATATTTTTTCCTTTTCCACTATTTAGCACAGGCTAGCTGTCAAAATTAAGGATGAGCTGGCCCCCTCAGCAAAATTTTGCTGAATTCACAAAAAAAATTTAGAAAATTCGTACTGGCTGGCAAAAGGCAATGGAACAGTAATCTCATCCAGACTGGCTGGAAAGCCCACGTTATAGCAGCCCTCAAAGGTAACAAGTCTTTATTCAGCTCTGTTAAACTAACCAAAGTATCAGGGGCTTTTTCAGAAACTGGATGAGAAAGGAAGCATCCGAGTGAGCTACATCAGTATATGTATTGAGTTACACTGACAGATGTAGACCAGTCCACCTATTTTTTATTTTTATTTTTGGTTATTTTTTAATCTCTTTTACCACAGGGAGTCAGATGTAGGGTATTCCCTTCGTGATCTTCCATTGAACATGGTAATCTAAGACTTACAGGGGAGCAAGGGCAAATTGTCTCATTATTGTACTGCTAAGGTATCATCTGTGTTAGAAACACACAAGGTCAGACCCATTATGAATTGATTAAATATGTTATTCAAACTCTTCCAAGAACTGCAACCAAATCCTTTATTAGACTAGTTGGAACATGACCATTTGTATGTTATTCTGAATCTTTGCTGTTGGTTGAATACTTCCAAATAGAGTTCCAGTTTCAATGGGATGTTTCTATTAACTTTTCTCTCCCCTAAAAAGTGCATTAGGGGAGAAGCTATTTAGCAAAGTGTATTATTTGTAATACACCTGGTGGAATGCCTAGGAATTATTATCCATAGGAAAGACACTCATTGTATCACAATGTAGACTTTGTGCTAGATAGATGTCATAGGTCCAACTTACAAGTGATAGTTTAACATCTGAATAAGAACCTAAGCAGTTTGTTTCACACATTGCTAATGGTCACTTCCATACATCTTTCTCCACACACTAATGAAAAGGGGATTTTTAGAGAAGTCAGAATATCTATCTGCTGATAGACCAGCAGTTGTGTAGTTTCAAAGTTAAGGTGTGCCCATCTGATGAGGGTTTCACTTTGTCAGCAGACTGTGAGGAAAGTACTCTTGCTAGTTTCATTTGAGGGATTTTTGTTTACGGATAAAACACTATGACAGGTATTCGATGACATTGCCATTTTACCAATTTTAGAACATGACCTTCCTTTTTAGACTTTCAGTGAAAGCATTGCCCACTAGAAATTTAGCTAGTAAAGTGAACAAACAGGTTATTTCTATGTTTGGAGCAGACTTCTACTAAAATTAAGGTAGAACAGAAGTCTTAGAGCTGATATAAATCAGCTTTGTTTGTTTGTAATTGTCAGTGACAAGTGAAGTGTGTTTATGTTTTGTAAAACTAAAAACATTGTAAGCTGCATGTGACATAACTGCAGCCCTTATCCTTAATGTCTCTCCACTAAAATAGTAAAAAGCTAGGATTATAAGAGAATACACATCTAAAATGAAAGTCCTAAATATATTTACGTTTATGAGATAAGTAGAATGGCTGTCAGGAGTGTAACATACTCTGAAGTTTCCATAGGAAAGCAGGACCTGAAATCTTGCCCTACTGTCTTTGGCATAATGAGCTTTCTATCCATTTTTTTGAATGCAGGTTAAGTATGATTAGTTAAAGCTGTTCTTACCTGAACAGTGTAAGAAAACTGTGTAGCTGACTGTGAATGGAATGGGAATTAAGGCTTTGCCTTCTAATTTCCCATTTGAAAGTCTTTTAAATGTCAACATAGAAAACCTTCTTCACTGTAAGCAGACAACATAATTGAGCTTTTAGCTAGAGAAAAGAAGACCATGGGAGTAAGAAAAGGAAATGGCTATGGCCATGGCCATACTTGAATGCATTGAAATTGGGCAAGTTGGAAGAAAAGTAGAAGCAAATAGCTGAACTCTCATTTAATATTTATATAAAACCAGTATACTTATGCATTGGTTCCTAGATTAGGTTTCAAAGAGCTTGTGTGCCTGGTTTTTTATTTCTCTCAACCTTAGGTAATTCTCTGTTATAAACAGATTTGCACTACTATTTTGCAAGAAATCACTGTCAGAAAAACATACTGGTTAGTATAACTAGTAGTATATCCCAGTCAGATACCATTACAGTTGTCCACATCACAATGAAAATTCCTTGTCTGTTTAATTGGGATTACAGCCTTTTTGGAATGAGTTTTACATTATACCATTTACCTCTTGATCTCATATCATAACTCAAAAGGACTCTTTCTTCCATAGGACACCATTAAAATGTGCTCTTAAATCTCTTTGCACATACTGTGTGCAAAATACATATTCATTCAAGAACTATAGAACAGATAAATGAGGGGAGAAGGTCATTAGTGAAAGTATATACACCAGTAAGCGTTCTACAGCCTGGAACAACTGAGACTTTCTCCTGCCTCTTCTTTCCCAGTCAAGATGTATGGTCTTCCAGTAGGCAGTAGCAGACAATGTTTTTAATTAGAGGCAAACAACTACTTCATTGTTTGAGATTTTTTTCCCCTCTTCCTCTTTGATCTCCCATAAAGTCCGTGATTTTAATTTTCTCCTGATAGTCCAACAGACAGTGAAACCTTTCCTCCATTTCCTCCTCTTTCTCTAACTTCGAAAGTAATTTCCTTGGTAACTCCTGCAGTGTTGTATCAGAGGCCTCCAAAAATGCTGGCTGGTCTAACAGAATTTAGATAGTTAAAAAAATGTTTGCAGTTAGCACTGACTGATTGTAAACGTGTCCTGTGCCGACCCCGGAGTTTGATCCCATTCAATTCCTTTGGCTTTGTTTATAGAGTTAAGTAGATTTAGAAAGCAAGCGTCTATTCATGACCCAACCTGATCTAGCTTCTATGAGATCATGTGAAATGCCTGGAGCAAAGTGAATAATAAATATAACTCAGCAAGACCAATGTTCATTCTTT